CAAAAATTAGGTGCGATGGCAGGCACCTGTAATCCCAGCTACTTTCCCAAAGCTGAGTCAGGAGAATCGCTTGAACCCGGGTGACAGAGGTTGCAGTGAGCGGAGATCACGCCATTGTACTCCAGCTTGGGCGACAGAGTGAGACCCCGTCTCAAGAGAAAAAAAAGAAAAAAGAGCCCTTTGGTTATCCTGCCCCAAATCCAGTCCTGCACCTTCTCTCTGGCCACTTCTGCTTTTGCTCTAAACACACACTTTCTCAGTTCCTCACCACCACCACCATCTTTGCACCTGTGATTGCATTTGCCTAGAATACCATCCAACCCACTCCCTTATCCACTCCAGTCATGTCTGCCTAGAGGACATAATGTATCCTTCAAGATTCAATTCCAACTTTCTGTCCTGTAATCTGAGAAGCCTCTCTGGTGTACTTGGACAGTCAGTCCTCTGTCTACAGTGTTCATAGACCACTTTATACATAAATCAAAGCTTTTCATTATTTGTTTACATGGGTCTCACAGTAGCTGAACTCCAAACTGCTTATAGCCAGCGTAAGTCCTGTAATAGAGAAGGCATGCAGTAAAGCTTTGTTAAATAAAAATCTGAGAAAGACCCTTATTAATAATCATGCAAGGATTTTGAGTGGCCCCTCAAGCAATTTCCAAATGCCCCAGCTCTAGGCAGAGACTAAATATCTGGGAAGGAGCCATCCTAAGAGTACGGAATGTGGCTCCTAGGCACATATGCTCATTCAACAAGTATTTATTGAGTACTTGCTATGGGCCAGGCATTGACATCCTGGGTTTTCATTTTAAAAAAGACAGTGGAGCCACAAAGACAATAATAAAGAGTAGCATAGGAGGCTGGGCACAGTGTCTCATGCCTGTAATCCCAGCCCTTTGGGAGGCCGAGGCAGGCAGATCACCTGAGGTCAGGAGTTCAAGACCAGCATGGCCAATATGGTGAAACCCCGTCTCTACTAAAAATACAAAAATTAGCTGGGTGTGGTGGCACGCCTGTAGTCCCAGCTACTCGGGAGGCTGAGGCAGGAGAATCGCTTGAACTCGGGAGGCGGAGGTTGCAGTGAGCCGAGATTGCGCTACTGCACTCCAGCCTGCTCGACAGAGCGAGACCCTGTCTCAAAAAAAAAAAAAAAAAGAAAGAAAGAAAGAGAAAAAAAAGGGTGGCATAGGAATCATGTGACAAACCCTAAAGATTGGCCAGAGTTAGCCCGCATCATGAGTGAGGGCAGGATAGCCTAGCAGAGACCACTAGACACCAGAATAGAAAGAGACACTGAGAGATGAGGAGCATGTGGGAGTCAAACAGGGACAGGTTACAGGGAACATCTCTTCCCCCATAACTTCTTTCCTTTTCCCTTCATATTCCATCCATCCTTTAAGTCTCAGCTCATGTGCAGTTTCTTCTCTGAAATTTTTCCTGATTGACTTCAACCCACTATGATCTTCTAATTACTCTTAAGAGTAATCAACTGTGTTTTTACTCACTTAGAATTATACTAGGCCATATTACTAGCTTCTCATGTGTATCCATCTTGTCTGCCTTATTACGTGGAAAATTCATCCTCCAACAAGTATAAATAGAGGCTCAGCCAGGTGCCACATGCTGAGGATACCACAGTGAATAGGACAGATATATAATCCTGTAGGTGGAAGAGATGGATATAACCTAAGTACACAGAGAAACTCCACTGTGACAAATTGTGGCAAGAATTAAGAAGAAAACAAACAAAGAACTGAGATGATTCCATTTAAACAGAGGACGAAGATGAGCAGCTGCATAAGAGTGGGGCCAACCCTTGAACTTCTCTATACCCACTCTCCCCACATCCACGGTCTAATTCACTGTCTTCACACTTTTCTTGCTAACTGTGCTCATGTTGTCAGTTTTCATTTAAATTTGGTGAAATCTCAAATAAGAGAATATTTGCACTGGCATTTTATCCCACAGGCACTCTGTACATATCCATAGGGACACTGATTACTATTACTGTTATTTTTTGAGACAGGGTATCACTCTGTAGCACAGGCTGGAGTGCAGTGGCACGATCACAGCTCACTGCAGTCTCAACCTCCTGGTCATAAAGCGATCCTCCCACTTCAGCTTCCTGAGTAGCTGGGACCACCGGTGCACACTACTATGCCTAGCCATTTTTTTTAACTTTTTGTAGAGATGAGGTCTCACTAAGTTGCCCAGGCTTATATTGAACTCCCAGGCTCAAGCACCTCAGCCTCCCAAAATGCTGAGATTTCAGGCGTGAGCCACCGCGCTTGGCCTGATTAATTTTAATTTTCTTTTTTCTTTCTTTCTTTTTTTTTTTTTTTGAGATGGAGTCTCGCTCTGTCACCGAGGCTGGAGTGCAGTGGTGCCATCTTGGCTCACTGCAACCTCCGCCTCCCGAGTTCAACAGATTTTCCTGCCTCAGCCTCCGAGTAGTTGGGACTATAGGTGCGGGCCACCATTCCTGGCTAATTTTTGTAGTTTTAGTAGAGATAGGGTTTCACCATGTTGGGCAGGCTGGTCTCAAACTCCTAACCTCAAGTGAGCCACCCACCTCGGCCTCCCAAAGTCCTGGGATTACAGATGTGAGCCACTGCAGCCAGCACCTAATTAATTTTTAAAAGAAGCTACTTGAAGATTAATGAGCATACCAAACTTAATGTGCCAAAAATCAAGTTTCTGATCTTCATCCCAAATTTGTTCTCCTCTCTATCTTCGTAGTCTCCAGTAACCAATGCATCTGATTTTGTTGCTGTTTGTTTGATTTACTGCAGTATTCCCAGCACCTAAAATGTGCCTGGAACAAAGCAGGCACCCAGCACTTGTACATCGTGAATGGGTGAATGAACGAAGCCATACTTCGTTGCCCTCAGCTTCTTTTTTTTATGTTGCTTTAAAGACCCACTAGAGGGCTGTATATCACTGCATAATAAACGAGGAGCTGGCGCCTGCGCGGCAGCACTACTCCGCCTGCAGGAGCCTGTCCCTACAGGAAATCCCCAGATTTGCATGTGTGAGGATATAAAAACAGACAAGATGTTTGTGTATAAGTCTTATCTCCACAATTACTTGAAGCAATTTGAAGTCAGGGATTATGGAAATTCTTTCGAGTGATTAAAAAAGATTTCTAGAAAGGAAAAAGGAGAGATTCTTTGTTTATAACAATCAGAAGCTAAGAGATGCTTTTAAAAAAAGATGCATGACATACTATACGCTCAACAAACACGTTCTAGAAGAAAGAATGAGGTGTTAGGCAGACTGTTCTTAACAGCCACATACCACGTGACATAAACAGGACAAGATGCTGACTGAGAGGCAGCTTCAGCTAAATGGCAGGCAGCTGATGGAAGAATATGATGAGAAGAAAGTTATCTTTGAAACCAAAGTGTTTAGTTAAGAGCTCCACCACATTTTAAAAGGGAATAGTTTTAAATTTATGCCCAGGGGTACAAATTTTTTGTTTTATTTATTTATTTATTTATTTATTTATTTATTTATTTATTTTTGAGACGGAGTCTCGCTCTGCCGCCCAGGCTGGAGTGCAGTGGCACGATCTCGGCTCACTGCAACCTCCGCCTCCCGGGTTCACGCCATTCTCCTGCCTCAGCCTCCTGAGTGGCTGGGACTACAGGCGCCCGCCACCACGCCCGGATAATTTTTTATATTTTTAGTAGAGATGGGATTTCATCGTGTTAGCCAGGACGGTCTTGATCTCCTGACCTCGTGATCCACCCACCTCAGCCCCCCAAAGTGCTGGGATTACAGGCATGAGCCACTGCACCCGGCAACCCAAGGGTACAAATTAGGGAAAAACATATTTCTGTTCAATATAAGGATAAACTTTCAAAGATAGACATTCATAATTTTCCATGTTTTTTCCTGTTATTTGTAAATTCAGGATATTTATTATCTCTAAGAATATTCATCACTTAAATGTGATAAGACAAATGTTAAAACTAATTATGGACGGTGAGGCCTGCTAGAGTCTGAATGCTTGTGACCTCCCTAAATTCATATGTTGAAACCTAACCCCCAAGCTAATGGTATTAAGAGGTGGAGCCTCTGGGGGAGTGATTAGTGCCCTTATATCAATACAAAAGGCCCCAGGGAGTTTGTTTGCCATGTGTTTGCCCTTCCATCATGTGAGGACACATAGAGCATGCCATCTATGAGAAACGGGTCCTCATCAGACACTGAATCTGCTGGCACCTTCCCCTTGGACTTTCCAGCCTCCAGAACTGTGAGCAATAAGTTTCTGTTGTTCATAAATTACTCAGTCTAAAGTATTTTATTATAGCAGCCTGAACCACCTTGCACAGGACCATAATGTGTTTCTAAGGGACTAAGAGCTTTTAGAGAACACACCTACCTTTTCAACCAGGGGGGCAGCACAGTGATGGTAGGAGCAGTGAGCTTGAGCTGCAGGTTCCCAGGCTCTTCTAGTTTTGTCTCCTTTGTGTGTTTGTTTATTTATTTGTTTGCTCGCTCTGTCACCCAGGCTGGAGTGCAGTGGCACCATCTTGGCTCACTGCAGCCTCTGTCTTCTGGGTTCAAGCAATCCTCCTGCTTCAGTCTCCCGAGTAGCTGGGGTTACAGGTACCCGCCACCATGCCACTAATTTTTGTATTTTTAGTAGAGGCGGGGTTTCACCATGTTGGCTAGACTGATCTCGAACCCCTGACCTCAGGTGATCCTCCTGCCTTGGCCTCCCAAAGTGCTGGGATTGCAAGCATGAGTCACCCTGCCTGGCCTAGTTCTGTCTTAATGAGTTATGTGACCAAGGGAATCCATTTCACCTCACTGGAACACTGGGCTGTTTAGTCATTGGTCTGACTCCAAATGACAATTTTTGTTGAGTAGCTATGTCTGCGTTAACTTTTCAACATCCCTTCTCTGGGCTCTATAAAATGAAGTTGTTAAACCCTTCCTGATCTAAATGTTGTGATTCCATCCCCTCTCACCAAAACTTCACTGGAACTGCTGTGTAAATCAGCTCTTTCTATGTAGTATGATAATTGCTCTGAAAGAGCTTTGCCTAAAATGCAAAGGGGAAGACCCAGATTTTGATAAAGATGGCAGGGCATGGAGGTCAGGGCAAATGTTCCTGGAGAGGTGACACTTGAATCCCATCTAAAGGAGCAGTTGGAATGAGGAGAAGGGAAACTGTGGGTAAAAGCATGGAGGCCTGCTGTGACCTGCAGGTTGGGCTGGTGGACCAAAGGGTACCTGTGGTTCATTACCTGTAAGATAGGTGGATGGACAGGTGAGCAGCAAGACCCAAGAGTTGAGGCAGTCTTCTGAAGATGATGGACTCGCAGTGGAAGCTTTGAGCAGACGAGCACTACTAGATGTGTGCTCTAGAAAGACTTCTCTGGTAAAGAGTGAAAGTGGGGCATAGGAATATAGTGTGAGAGGCTATGGCAGCAACGCTGGGGAAATGACACTGACTAAACTGAGGCAATGGCTGTGGGAATGAAGAGGGGAGTCCAGAAATGCCTGGGAGATGGGTTAGATGACACATAGTGATCAATTGTACATAAGGTAAACAGGGAGGGACATTCCTGGCTTGAGTGACCAGGTGGATGGTAGCGTAGTTCACCACAGGAGGAAATGCTGGGACAGGAGCAGCTTGGGCAAAGCTGATACTGAGTTCATGTTGAGCCCCAGAGGCCTATGAGGAGCTAGCTGGTCAACAGGCAGTTGGATACAAGGTCTCAATAGATTGGTCTAGGCCAGAGACAGAGAGCTGGGAGGTGATAACAGAAGCCACATTTGGGGTTGAATATGCTCCAAGAGTGGCAGAGCGGGAAGGGAGACAGGAAGGAACCATGGAGGTTATTCTGTGCAGGAGGAGGAAGAAAACTCAGTGAAGGAGACCAAGGGAAGCATCCGGAGGACTAGGAGAGAATATGGAAAAAATTGTCACACAGGTTCCCACAGAAGAAAAATGGTTTCCAGAACGCGGAAGTGGTCCATGACGCCAGATGTTGCAGATAGAGCAAATAAGGTAAGGGCAGAGTTGTAAACACTTGGTTTGGTCATTTGGAGCGCATAGCGACCTCCCTAAGAGCATTTGCAAGTTGAGTGGGGCTGAAGCCAGCCAGCAGAAGTTACATTGGGACAAGATAGTGAGGGGGGTTGATAGAGTGTGTGTGGACAGCCCGGTCAGCCTTCCAGAGCAGCCGTGGAACCTACCCTTCTGCGTGTTTGCACCTTGTTCCTGTGCCCCAGGAGAACAAGAATCCTGCCCAGGAGGCCTTCTACTCCCACAGAGGAGGGCACCACCCACATGGCATCAGCCTGCAGCTGATTTCATATTACAAGCTCATGACATATCACCTTATAGGACATGTCACAACTTACGCCTTCCCCTTATCCGCCATCAGTGAGTTCCCCAAACAAGCTGTGCCACTGTGAAAGTGGTGACCACACCAATCTGAATTCAACCCAGCCCAGACCTTGGGAAGGGCTAAGGGAGTGGGGAAAACGTGGCAGGTGGCTAAGCATTTGCTTAGTGTGAGGAAGGTTCAGAAGGAGGTCAGTGATACAGGGCAGGCAAGGCCGAAAGTGGAGCTTAGCCTGCTGGGTTCCTGGCTTTGCCCAGGAAAGAATTCAAGGGCAAGCCAGAAGTAGAAGAAAGCTTTATTGAAGAGGCAGTGTTACAACTCCATGACTGCTCCTGCGGAGGAGGGCTAACCTAGGCAGGGAGTAGCGGCTCAGGGCAGTTTTGCAGTCATATTTATGCCCACTTTTAACTCAACGCTGAGACCCAGTACCTCCCTCTAATCTGCCCCTGCAGATTAAGGGGCGGTTTATGCAGAAATTTCTAGGGGAGGGGTAGGCACTTTTGGGTCATGGGGTCATTACCATGGAAAGGAGTGGTAACGCCCGGGTGTTGCCATGGCTACAGTAAACTGACATGTCTCAGTGGTGGGCATGTCTGATTCAAAGCTGCTTTCACCCCGGCTCTGTTTTAGCTAGTCCTCAATCTAGTCTAGTGTCCAAGCCCCACCTCTGGAGTCGAGTCCCACCTCAAGATGAGAAACTTTTGTTTTGACTTTCAGGGGATAGAACAGAAAGACGTAAGCATTGGTATGGGCCTATTCCACAGCCAAAGCAGGTAATGAGCTCTCAGCTACTTGCAACAAATTCAAGTGTGCATTCGGTCCAGAAGGAAGAGTCCCCCGCCCTTTTTTGTTGCTGTTCAGTGTTAATCCTTTGGTGGAACCCACCAGGACAGCAGTCTCAATGCTGTTCTTTTTGACAGGGAGAACATCCCAGGGCAGAAAGGAAAGCCTAAAGCTACAGCCTGTTCCTCCAGTTCTTAGAACGGCTGGTTACTGAGCTCTCAGGCCAGACAGTTGGTAAGCATCATCTAATTCTGTTTCATAACAGCCCATGAGAATTTACCAGTGAGAAACTTGAGGCACAAAGACCTTAAGTATTTGACTCAGGGTAGTGAGTGGCAGATACAAACTGAAGACCAACTGGGATCTACTTGAGATCCAAGATCTTGAAAGCCAGCTTATGTAGCTTACCTAGTTTAAGATGTTGGCGGGGCACAGTGGCTCACACCTGTAATCCCAGCACTTTGGGAGGCTGAGGGGGCAGATCACAAGGTCAGGAGTTCAAGACCAGCCTGACCAACATGGTGAAACCCCTTCCGTACTAAAAATACAAAAATTAGCCAGATGTGGTGGCAGGCACCTGTAGTCCCAGCCACTTGGGAGGCTTAGGTAGGAGAATCGCTTGAACCCGGGAGGCAGAGATTGCAGTGAGCCAATATTTCACCACTGCACTCCAGCCTGGGTGACAGAGCGAGACTCCATCTCAAACAACAACAACAACAACAACAACAACAAAAGATGCAGGGGATTTTTAAAAAAACAGCAGCAACAACCCAATTTCCAGTTTAGGTTCTGGTGTGATAGCTGTGCCATGAGGCCTGGCATCTACCCTCTGACCGGACTTCACCATCCTTGCCAGACCCCAGAGAGCTTGTCCACTGCAACAGCGCAACACGCTGAGGGCTGTGTGGCGGCACAGCGGCTTTGAGCTCCTGACCTGAGTCATGTGGACCTGAGACTGATGCCCAGCCCTATACCTACAAGCTGGGCGAGACCCCTGGCAGTTGCCTACGCCCCCGCTGAGACCCAGTACCTCCCTGTAAAATGGGGGAAATAATGCCTGTTTCATAGGGTTTCAATGAAGGGTGAATGAAATAAGGCATGTAGTGTCTGACCTGCTTAGATGCCCCAGACACAACAGCTACTGTGGTTTTTAGTATAATTATTTTGGGGGAGGGACGAAGTCATAGAGGAAACCTAACACCTCAAGCTTTCTGCTGACTGTTGAGGCACCACGATGGGCATTTTACACAACCTCCAGCAGGGCCGCCCAGCCAGCGTTTCTGAGGGTGCACACTTTCCCAGCTGGCCTGGCTCTGTCACCTGGCTTCTGCTCTGCCTGTCCCCATGTGGCATCCTGCCCCAGGAGGGTCCTCAAACCTGCATTTAGGGGCATTTGAGTGTATAGCTGTCCTGTCAGCCCAAGACAAGGGGAGCGAGGCCAAGGCATGAGCCTTCTCAGAGTGGTTTTCAATACACTCCCCAACCAAGAGGCAGATGTGAGCTGCTCCCAAGTGCCCGCACTCTCCTGCTGCTGCTCCTGTCTTCTATCTCTCTCTCTCTTCTTTCTCATCCCCCTTCAGCTACCCATTTAGGGCAGAGAGGCAGTCGAGGGGCAGCTGAAGAGAGGACAGGCCTTGGTCCATGGCCCTCCAGACCTAATTTCTTCCCCAATAGGCCACAAGTTCCAGAACTGGCCTCACTCAGATCTGAGATACAATGCAGAGACCTCTCTCTCTCTTCTCTTCTTTTTCAGGAAACATCTGGAAACTCCTTGGGGGAGATCTGCCGTGTGGCCTCCGTTGAACTGTAGACTCCTGCATAGCCTTCCAAAGTTCTTCATTTGGTGAATATTATGAGAAATGACACGTATGTCTTTCTCCCAAATACATAGCTTGAACCCAAAGTACAGTGAAATCAGAACTGACCACAGAATAATTGGGGGAAGGGAGTTGTGACATAAAGCTCTCATCACTTTGTAAAAGTACTTGCTACTGATTACATTAAAAACTAGTCTTCTTGAGTAAAACATGTTTTTTGTTTTGTTTTTGTTTTTATTTTTGTTTTGTTTTTTGAGACAGAGTCTCACTCTCTCACCCAGGCTGGAGTGCAGTGGCGCGAACTTGGCTCACTGCAACCTCTGCCTCCTGGGTTCAAGCGATTCTCTTGCCTCAGCCTCCTGAGTAGCTGGATGAGCTGGATCCACCTTGGGTCTGCTAGTGGCAGCAGTCAGGGGTCACCTGAGCCTAGCTCAGTGGGTGTGCTCCTCACACTGCATTGCTGCATGCTGTGGGTGGGCCTGTGCACACAGAGGAAATGGGTGTAGGCGGGGATTGAGGTCATTTTTACAAACAGATGAGGAAACCCAGGCTCTAGAGGGTGATAAAATGCCAGAGCTGGACCTGTTGTTCTGCTTGATTCCAAAGTTCAAATCTTAACACGGCTAAAGAAATAAAACTGTATATACACACACACAGACACACACACATATATACACATACATATATATAAGTATATATATATATTAATTGAGACAGGGTCTCATTCTGTTGCCCAGGCTGGAGTGCAATGGTGCAATCATAGTTCACTGCAGCCTCAAACTCCTGGACTCAAGCAATCCTCCCACTTCAGCCTCCTGAATAATTGTGATCACAGGCACACACCACCATGCCAGGTTAATTTTTTTGTATTTTTAGTAGAGGCGAGGTTTCGCCATGTTGGCCAGGTTGATCTTGAACTCCTGACCTCAGATGATCCACCCGCCTCGGCCTCCCAAAGTGCTGGGATTACAGGCGTAAGCCACCAAGCCTGGCCATAAAACATGCTTTAAATTAGAAGATGTGGCTGGGTGCGGTGGCTCACGCCTGTAATCCCAGCACTTTGGGAGGCCAAGGCGGGCAGATCACAAGGTCAGGAGATCAAGACCATCCTGGCTAACACGTGAAACCCCGTCTCTACTAAAAATACAAAAAAATTAGCCGGGCCTGGTGGCGGGCGCCTGTAGTCCCAGCTACTCGGGAGGCTGAGGCAGGAGAATGGCCTGAACCCAGGAGGTGGAGCTTGTAGTGAGCCAAGATCGCGCCACTGCACTCCAGCCTGGGCGAAAGAGCGAGACTCGGTCTCAAAAAATAAAATAAAATAAAAAAAAAATAAAAATAAATTAGAAGATGTTTTTTGCACTTTTGTTTTTCTGGAGGAATGTCATGGTACACAGAGCGAAGACCTAACTTAAGGAGGCCTTGGAGCCTCTCAAGCATACAATGATTCAGGTCTGTGCCGGGCTGTGGCACTGCCTTCTTCACTGCCCTCCACCCTGGGCAGAGGCAGAGGGCAGGATCATCTGGTGCGCTGAGGCCACATGTCCACCTGGAGTGGCTGGTGTGATCCACACAGCTGGAATGATAAAAGCACCACACTCATCCGTGCCAGGCCCGGTGCTACTCACGCTTCTCCTTCACTCTTCACCACATTCCCAGGACTGAAGCATTGGTTTATTCCCATTTTCCAAAAAAAGGAAACCGAGGCTCATAGTGTTTAAACCTCAAGTCTCAGGCCACCATGAATACTTCTCATCTGCCAAAGAGAACACCCAGATGTGCCCACCCACCCTACAGATTCTTGGAGGCCTGGCTCACTTATCTCCGAGAAACCCCCTCTGGACCAGCCAGAAGCCATGAGACGGTAACGGTGCCTCCTCTGCAGGGGCTCTGATCCACCTTGGGTCTGCAAGGGGTAGCAGTCAGGGGTCACCTGAGCCTAGCTCAGTGGGTGTGCTCCTCACACTGCATTGCTGCATGCTGTGGGTGGGCCTGTGCACACGTGTGTGCACACAGAGGAAACTGGTATAGGCGGGGATCGAGGTCATTTTTACAAACAGAAAAGCTGTAGCATCTCCATAACTCAGCTTGTGGGCTAGATGCTTACCACAGAAAAAAGGAAGCCAGACAAAAACTGAACCACTGGACCACTGCAAGCCCGCCCCAGCAGGGAGGGGGTGCAGGACTCCCTGTCAGAAATGGGAACTCTCTGTACTATCTTTACAGCTTTTCTATAAATCTAAAACTCTTCAAAAATAAAGCATTTATTAACAACAATGACAACAAAAGCATTGACTAAGCTCCATGAACTGAGAATTTTGTTCTTTATCAAATGGGGATTTCTAACACATCTTTTTAAGTGGTTTGGCAGCATCTTGGAGCTTCCCATTGCTAACAGTGTGCTAATGATGGCTGCCCTTAAAGGAGGCCTCCTGCAGAGCGCTGGCCCACCTGGTGACCCTCCTCCAGCTGTCTGTGAGATAAGAGTGGTGATAACATAGCTGCTCTTGGAGGAGTACCGTGTGCCGTCCAAGGCCCAGTGCCCCGAAGAGGAGGCACTGTTACCATTTCTATTTTACAGATGAGGAAATCCAGGTTCTAGAGGGTGAGAAAATGCCACAGCTGGACCTGTAGTTCTGCCTGATTCCAAAGTTCAAATCTTAACCACAGCTAAAGAAATAAAGCTGTATATATACATATATATATATATATACACACACACACACGTATACATACACACACACACATATATACATATATATATATATATATATATATTTTTTTTTTTTTTTAATTGAGACAGGGTCTCACTCTGTTGCCCAGGCTGGAGTACAATGGTGCAATCATAGTTCACTTGAGTCCAGGACTTCACTCAAAGTCCTGGACTCAAGAGCAATCCTCCCACTTCAGCCTCTTGAATAACTGTGATCACAGGCACACACCACCATGCCCAGTTAACTTTTTATTTTATTTTATTTTTGTAGAAACAGGCTCTCGTTATGTTGCCTTGGCTGGTCTCAAACTCGTGAGCTCAAGCAATCCTCCTGCCTTGGCCTCCCACAGTGCTAGAATTACAGGCATGAGCCACCATACCCGGCCTCAAATATTTTGTAAATATGAAGTCTCCCTGTACCTCATCCCAAAGGGTTTGGTTTATTACCATCTCTCAGGATTTTACACACTCGGGAAACCCACATACTTTGAGTTCGAGGAACCAAACCCATAGGCTAGAGTATGGCTGCCCTCCAAAAAATACCATGTGCAGTCTTTGTTGTGAGGTGCCTTCTCAGGGTGGCCCAAGGTTTTCCCAGACTCTTCCATATTGGTGAGGTTCTGTGTGTCTCTAGGGCTGTCAGAGCCCTCATGCCTCAGCCATCCCTGTAAGGGCGGGACAGGCACAGCAGGTAGACACTGACTCCCTTCCTACCTACGTCACATGGCACACGGCAGGGCGGAGACAGAACCACGTCCAGACCAGGGCTGTGGTCACCAGGGAAGGCCATTAAACTACTGCATTATGTGACATTCTCTAGAAGCCACCTGGACAGGGAGGCCAGGGCAACTTAGGTTTAGGGCCAGGTTAACTGCCATGGCTTTTGGGGAGAGAAAGTGGCCTAAAATAGATACAGGAATTTAATACAAATACAACAGCACTCACTTGAAAATGATTTTAACAGTCTTGTAGGTTCTGACAACTCAGATGAACCTGGCTTTTCATGAAATCAGCACTAACCAAAGCTGGCAGGTATAGTAATGGGAGCCCTTTCCTTCAACCCAGCCTAGATCATTCCCTCATCCCTTTTCTTTCCCATCCCACTCAGAACTCAGCTCTCAAGAAGCTCAGTTTCATGATGACCTTGAATTTAATCTACCTTCCCTCGGTGCTTTAAGAGTATTTTTTCTACACTAGATTGATTTAGGGCACCTTGTTTGTTTCTTTGTAAGCATTCTGGAGCCTTTCTCAGATGTCTATGTCAAGGCTTTACCTAAACTAATTGTATTGGATCATGGCTGTGCACAGGGTAACCAAGAATTCTGGTTTCCGTGGGACCATCCCAGGTTTCAAGTCTGGGCAAACTCCTCAGCCCCATGCAAACCAGGAGGGTTGGTCAGCTTAGCTATGAAGCTCCTCTTCGGAAGCCCTTCCAGCTGGTCATAGCTAGAGCAGTGTTGTCAGTAAGTGGTGTAGACCCTCACATGTGGTCCTTGGAGAGCAACAAGGTGTCCCTTGGGAGCTTGTTAGAGATGCAGACTCTCAGGCCCCACCCGGCCCTGCGCATCAGAATCTGCTCTTCAGCACAGTCCCTGGGGGCTCCCATGCTTGTCACAGTGGAGAACAGCTGTGCTGGGAGGGCGACTTCCTGCTGAGAAACACACTGTGGATGACATCTGCTTTTGAGGCACACTTCCAGGGGAGTTCCCCATTTGAACTTAGCCCAAAGCTTTTGGGAAGCCAGTAAAGCCCTAGACTAGACCAATTTGAAAACATCCCAACTGGGGGCAGAGATCAATGATAGTCTCCAGCAAGGCTCAGGAGGCTTGCAGGCATTTGGGCACCTGGCAGAGCCCCCACACTGGCCTTTTCTCTCCGAGAATGCAAGGGAAAGGCAGAGTTAGAGGAATGGCCTCATATCTGCTCTAATTATACATACATACATGTATATGTGGTTTAGCAGCATCTTGGAGCTGTGTATCTCTCTCTCTATATATATATATATATATAAAATATATTTTATATATATTTATTTTTGAGACAAGATCTCAGTGTTGCCTAGGCTGGAGTGCTGTGGAGCAATCACAGCTCACTGCAGCCTTGACCTCCAGGCTCAAGCAATCCTCCCACCTCAGTCTCTCCAGTAGCTGGGACTACAGGCTAGGCCTGGCTAATTCGCTTTTATTTTCAGTAGAGATGGGGTCTCACCATGTTGCCCAGACTGGTCTCAAGCTCCTGAGCTCAAGTGATCCTCCTGCATCAGCCTCCCAGAGTGCTGGGATTACAGGAATGAGTCACTGCCACGGGCCTCTAATTTGCATATAACGACAGATGATTCACAAGTGTTGGCACCTTAACTATTGTTAGCTAGAAGTTATTTGTGACACCTCATCTCCGATCTTAATACTCTGCAGTTCTCAACTGGGTGTTGATCAGAAGCTCTATAGAGCTTGTTGTTGTTGTTTTTAAAAAATGCCTGGGGGCACACCTCGTACTTCCTG